GTTCCGATCTAGAGAGAGAGAGAGAGAGAGAGAGAGAGACAGCGATCAACATTAATATGTTTGTATATGAACATATATTACCTGTCTATCTGTGCAAGCAAAACTACAGTAAAGGCGTATGCTTACCAAGTTCCTACGAAGAGTTTAATGGGTTTACCCCATCCAAGGGTATGTGCAGCTGCTTGTTTATCGTCTGCATCTAAGAGTATTTCTTCTTCTATGTGGCCAACATGAGTGAGAGCCTTGCGGTCTCCTGCAGAAGCAGCACCTAGGCCCCCCCTGCCTGAGGAGTCAGTTGGAGGGGTGATGAGACTGTCCCTGCTGCTGCTGCTGCCGCTGCGGATAACAAAGGGGGTAGGGAGCTCGACGTTGCAACAATTGTTAAATAAAGAATAAGGAGACCCACAAACAACAACCCCACATCCTTCTGCAGAGAAGCAGTCGACCCCTAAGCCAACGCAAGGGGTAACAACACGGCACTCCCATCTTAAAGCAAGGTCGCCGCCCTCTTCTTCGTCCTGCATCTGCTGCTGCTGCTCTTGCTGCTGTTCATGATGGTGCTGCTGCTGCTGATGCTGCTGCAGCTTCTGCTGCAGCTTCTCATACTTCCACTCGAAGCTCGGAGTCGGAGGGCCCCCAGAAGCCTCCGTCTTGTTAACAACAGTAAACAGAGGCAACACAGACACCCTAGTAGACTCGTCTATGGGGTAGGAGCAATCTTTATTGTTATCTAACAGATTGTTATCCAACAGAACCTTCTTCTGCTGCTGCTCCTGCTGCTGCTCCTGCTCCTGCTGCTGTTGTTGTTGCTGCTGCTGCTCCTGTTGCTGTTCCTGCTGCTGCTGCTGAAGATGATGGTAATGATGATGATGATCCTGATGCTGATGATGATGATGGTACGGAAGCTCCTCGACAGGTGAGCCAGAGCAAGTCTCCATTTCCGTGTCGCTGCTTACTGGCAGCTTCCCCTCCAACTCTTCTATCGCCTCGCCCACCAGAAGATCCCCAAGCTCCTGCTCCTGCTCCTGTTCGGTGCAGTGCTGCCGGATCTGCAGGTCGTCTAGAGTGCAGCAGCGATGAGCAACCTCCTCCTCCTTCCCAAGCGGCATCAAATGAATGGGGGACTCATAAGCTTGAATTGCTGCTCCCTGCAGCAACAGGTCCCTGCTTACCTCCTCTGTGTCAGCCAAGGACCTGCTCGTGCAGCTGTTATTGCAGCTGCTCCTGCTACTGTCCCTGCTGCTGCTCCTGCTGCAGGTGTTGCTAATGTCGGTGAGGGAGGAAGTAGAACGAATGTCAGAAACGACAGAGGTCAAAAGGTAGCCTCTGTCTGCGGCGTGCATCTCTGAGTGTGGGGTGTATGTCGACATGGTGGCAGCAACAGGCAGTTACTACTTGGCTGGTCGCAGTGCATGCGTGCAACAACAGCGACAGCGACAGAAGCTGCTGCTGCACCAGAAAACTACCCTTGCTGAACAGGGGAAAGAATTCAAGGGCCCCTTCTCGCTTTGGAGAAGGGGCCAAAGGACCGGCGGTGACGAGAAGAGAGTTCAGGTGTACATACATACAGCGCACGCGTTGGTGAGCTGCAGGCGTTGCATTTGACTTTGGCTCAGCGCCTAAACCCTAAACCCTAAACCCTAAACCACAGACGGAGATGTGGAGGGTAGGCCTGTCATCCTACAATGGCCGGAGTACGTGGTGCAGGAGGCCGGAGCGGAGAGATAGCAGGGAGTCGCAGCGCTGTAGGAGATCGATGGCTTTACATTGAGCTGACTGCTGCTGCGTTCCCTGCCGTTTTTATTTTTATCGCTGTTCCTGTCGCCCGCTCTGCGGTGCTGCTGCTGCTGCTGCTGCGGCTGCGGCTGCAGCTGCAGCTGCTGGTCCTCCTGCGCCCCGAGCCGCGCTCGGCGCACGAGGAGGGCTGGTCACAGGGGGCGTTTTAGGGTTGAACAGCTGTTTCAATAACCTTTTTAACAGTTAAAAAACAGGGGGAAAGAACAAATAAATGCAAATAGGACGAGAAAAAGCCCATGCGGAGAGACGCGGCGTCAGCTGTCTGTGGCAGCCCGTGCGACCAGTGCTGCATCGATGGTCTCAGGAGGTGAGGCGTGCAGATGCTTAAACTTGAATTGCGTGAATAATCTAGTTCAATCTTTGAATTTGTTTATTATTTCATGCAGCAAACAACAGATTTGGAGGGGGAATGCTGCAGCAGCTAGCTCTGCTCTCTCCATTTCTCGCTCTCGGCCTTTGCTGCATACAGCCACTTCGTTTGTTTTCGTATTCTTCTACCTCTCCCTCTGCAGCTAATGCTCCTTTGCACCTCTCTACAACTAAAGTAGCAACAGGAAACCGTATACGGCTCAGGCAGCCGATGCTCTGCCTGCCACAGGGACCCGAGACAACTCGAGACAGACGAGTTAACTATCCAACACATTAAATACGGAGCCTTAGAGCCCCTAGGATACCCTGTATTTCCCCTTCTTCTCACCGCACGAAAGGGGATCTTCTAGCCGTCCGCATGCAATCTGACAGACAAACAGAAGACTAGTTATCAGCTGAAATACCACTCACCATACACTACAGAATTACCCTTCTCCTAGGGGGCCCTGGTGACGCGCTTTCCTCTTTTAGCACTGCAGGGTGCTTACTGTGCGAGTGTCCGTGTCAACACACTCCTTAGTAGACAATATCGGCGCAACTGGCTGAAAGCGTAAGCGTCCATTCTATCTCTCCTTTCCACCTTCAAAAGGTAAATCTTGCCACCTCAGTGGCACGCCTTCTTGTGTAGTCTCCCCTGGAAGTGCTGGGGTTAACTTTCCGCTCCGCTAGAGCTTTAAATGTTGTAGCTGGGCTGGCTGTGCCATTGAGGCCATACGGAAGTTTTACATCTGGAAAACTACGATAAAGGCACAAACGCAAACTCCACATGTATGACTTTTCGTCCACCACGGAACGGAGATCACCTGGAGCTCCTTCGTTGGCTGCCACAGCCAACCCCTCTGCGAACCCAACTATGACGCCGGTTAGCCTACCTGAAGGCTGTCCCATGCGAGCGTAACTGCGCCGAAGTCTCCCATGGAAAATGAGCCATCTTCCCGTACCAACAAATTCTCGAGTCTCAGGTCGTGATTGCTGAAACTTGCACGCTTCAGGTGCAAGACCTCCAGTGGCAGTCTCTTTCCTACGCTTATATATTCGACTCCCAACTGGTTTTAGGGGATGAAAGGTCCTGGTCTTGTCCCAGAAAACCGCTGCATTAACTCCACCCAGAAGGTACCTGGAGGAGCATTCCATTACGGAAGAGACTCCCTGAACTATTCTTATGCTCGAGGTCATCGCCAGCCCCCAAGCTTCCCTCGCCTCGCTCGGCTTAGTACTACAGGCCGCCTGAAGCATAGGAGCATTCACTTGGGTGAGGACCTCATGTCCCATGAGGTTGCGTGCGACGTGATTCTGTGTAGTGGGCGCCGCAGAAAGCGCGGACAGCTTCATGGCGTACGTCTTGTCTGTATCACCTTCCTTCACCCCCACTGCCACTGACCTTCCCCCCTCACAGGGGAACTTGGAAACCGTAAACTTGCGAGGGGTCTCATCCACCTCGGTAGAGCCCATGGCTTGCTTGTTGGTGAGGGTAACATCCATTCCAACGAGAACCTCCGATGTGCCTCTAGATAAGTGCGTCGCAAGGGTGTTCCCGCCTCTTCGGCCTTTGGCCTGGGGAAGCGGTTGTGCAAATTCCCCCCTCCTTTGCACAGTTACACCAGGGATTTCCTTCCCCAACTGCAATGAACGAGGCAGAGACCTTCTAAACTGTTCCAGTGTTGGCACCTCCCAGGCTTCCTAATGGGGAGTTACTTGTTTCCAGGCTGTGCGCAAGCTCTTCCTCCAGTTCGCCGCAAGCAGCGAACGCAGCAAGTATCCCCCAAGCACCCTTGAAAGTAAACAACGGACGATCAGTTCACATATAATGCACAGCTTGCTCATTCCCCTGTGGCGTGTCTCCTCAACTTACTGGAAAGATGCCATTTTTTCTCGCCCCAGTTAAAGCCTATTCATCTGTCCCCGCGGCCACATATTCTGGATCACTTGTCGAGCCAGAAGGTTGGCGAGTAGAGGTGTATGGCCCCTCTGTTGGTGTTGTCTCCATCTTGAAAATAATGTTGAAAACACGTACCACAGTAATGAGCGCAAGCAGCATGCATTGCTGCCGCTGCTTCACGTTGCTGGTGCCTGTTGCTGCTGCCTCCGGCACCCCTATAACGGGGTTTAGGGTTTAGGGTTTAAGCTTTAGGGTGGCTGGTTCTAATCAGCTGTGTTCCTCCCATAGGGCCGGCTATCAGCTCTGCTGCTGCTGTTCCTGCTGTTGTTCCTGCTGCTGCTGCTGTTGTTGTTGCTGTTGCTGCTGTTGTTTTGTCGTTTCCTGCCTCTTCCCCTCCTTGAGGGCTTGCACAAGAAAGCATACTGAGGCAGCACATAGGATACTGCAGCAGCAAGCTGCAGCAGCAGCTGCAGCAGCAACTGCTGATATGTTGCTCGTCTCCCTGTTGTTGCTGCTGTTGCTGCAACATTTGCTGTCGCCGGATACACCTGATATACCTTTTACTACCTGTTATTTATAATATGCGTGCACAGAACCCGCGTCTTCGTCATTTAGCTTCTATTGACCATGCAGTGGCCTCTAAATGAGCTACGAATGGGCAGATACTGAGGGCATGCCGTGTGCGTTTACAAGCCTACTCTTGAAGCAATTCTTGAGCTGCAACAGCTGCAGCTGCTGCTGCTGCACCGCAGCTAGGGGTATAAGCACAAAAGCAGGCTCTCAGCCTCTCGTAACATAAGGAATAAAACCAGCCCTAACCAAGCAGGCATAGGGTTTTAGTTTAAGCGTTCTGTTTGCGTTAAGAAACGCAGTTGCTTCACAAACAGCAACCCCAGCAGCAGTCGCTGCTGCTGCTGTTGCTGCGCAGCAGCAGCAAGTCGTCCCGAACCTGCTAGAGCCGACAGCGGCGGCCCACTACCAATCTTCTAGTTTTCTTCGTTTGGGCTTTCGTTTCTTCTCCTGCCTCACTTCAGAGACTGTATTCCATTGCTGGTGCTGCTGCTGCGGTTGCATGTACTGTTGCTGCGGCTGCATGTATTGCTGCTGCGGCTGCACATACTGCTGCTGCGGCTGAATGTACTGCTGTTGCGGCTGCATATAGTGCTGCTGCTGTTGCATGTACTGCTGCTGAGGCTGTTGCTGCTGCTGCATGTGCATCGGCTGCTGCTGCTGTTGCAGGTAATGCTTTTGCTGTAGCCGCTGCGAGCTGCTGCTCACGTAGCTGTCAGCTCTGCCCTTCCTGCTGGAGACTGACGACGCTGCGCCTATGGCACTGCTGCTGCTGCTGTGATGGTACTGCAGCTGCTGCTGCCGGAAGCCTTGAGAAGAAAAGGAGCGGAGCAAAGTACTACTCGTCGCTGCAGCTTGCTGTTCGGGGCGCGGCTGCTGCTGATGCTGCATAGGCACCTTACGAAACGCATGCTCCCCCAAAGCTGCTGTAGGAGCAGCAGAGAGTAGAAAGGCTGCAACAGTAGCTGCTGTAGTCTTGATGCTCTTGTCCGTGCTGGTGCTGCTGCTACTGCTGGTGCCAGTTGTCTGTTTTGCAGCATTCGTTGCCGCTGGAGAGGCAAATAAAGAAAGTTCTTCATTTGCAACCCCCCCCGGTTTAGGTTCTGGGGTTTCGTGGTCTAGCAAGTCCACCAAGGTGAAGTTGTGGTAGCGATGTGCTTCAGGTATAGGCAGAGGCGGCAGCGGCTGATGTAAACAGAAGAACTTTGTCTGGTGCGGCAGCGTGTTTGACAACAGACCGGGCCCGTAAATACCCTTTGGCCGTAGCGCAGCCAAACGCAGCCTAGCAGCGAAGTGCTGCTCTTGTTGTGTGATAAACGCTACTCTATAACGCAACGCACAGCAAACAGACAAAAAGCAAGTCTTTTAGCAGACGGTCAGTGCGCAAGTCTAGTAATCGCCGTGAATGTTAGCAAAAGCTGATGGAACTTGCAAACAAATCAAGGGATCACACGAAATAAAAGAGAAAATGCACAGAGGTTTATGAGCACATACCTTTCTGGATGCAAACCAATGAGGTCGTCGCACGCATTAGGAGGACGCCAAGGATCTGGCATAGGAGGAGCCGACTTGCAGAAGAAGGCAGTCACTGCATCTGAATCAGCTTCTGAAGCAAGTGCTGCAGCAGGTGGCGGTGTTGTTGCCTGTGGCACAACACCGCTTTCGCCTGCGGGGGCCCCCAAAGGGGGCCCCGCCATCTCCACCACGAAGAGGAATCAACAGGAACAACAGACCATGAAATTCTGATACAAAGCAGCTCAAATATAGAATAGCTAGAGGATCACTTGCGTTGTTCACCTTCGGTCAGTCTGCGGACACACACAGGCCCTTCTCAGGATTTATTCGTGCACCCGACACTTGCAAGGCGCATCCAGAATGCTCACATACTCTAATTTTCGTTCTATTTTCCTTCACGAAAACGGCGTTAAGACAAACTTGAACTGATGAACTGAGGAAACCGTGGGGCTCTATACTAACCGCGGCTGCTGTGCTGGTGGCGCCGTTACTTGCATTCATGCATTTCAGCGTGGAAACCGTCGGTTAATGAAAAGATGGGATCTGGATTTCATCGTTTTAACTTGAAGGATATACTCTGACATCCATGCTAGCAAGGTGCCGTTGGCAGAGTTTGGGGCTGGGTGATTCGGTTCCTAGGTGAGCGGAAACGTTGTAGGCACGCCAACTTCGGTTGATGAGCCGACGAGTACGCTTAGTATCCTCCGTGCATTTATATTTTTATACACTTATATTTTTGTATCTCTAGAAAGGGTGAGTAACTATAGGAGGTAAAGAGTGCCCCTCAGGTTCCTCGTGCACGATGGTCGCGGTTTCGTGTGAAGTCCATTGCAAATAGTTTTGCGCTAAGGAGCATCTAAACAAAAGCTTGTAGCTTTGTTGAAAATAGTTGGACTTTTTTGCCGATCTTAAGCTAGGGGCCGGAGCTCTATTTGTCCCCGTAGCGTAGAACCGTCGTGCGTTGCGACAGTAAATCCCTACGTGTAGCGCGGGTCGTAGACCTTACCTGAGGACACCTGTGAGCTGAAATGCAGCTAAAATTCTGGAGAAGAGAGTTCCTTAGGAGCAAATGGTCTCCCTCCCCAGACTACAGGCGTTATGGGAACAGCAGTTCACGTGCCTTGGGTGGCGGGAGCGTTGGAGGCCTTCTTGGTGCTATAGGCTTCTACCTGTCTGCAGGCTGACTATTGCTGTCCAGGGGAGGATTGACAAATTTCCTATGGTGCTGGTGCAAGCATCAAATGTGGCTTAGTTCCCCTTGCTTACGAGGTTCCAATGCAGCAGAAGTGAAAATCACGGTGTATCGCACCTTAAACACAACAGAATCAGCCACTTTTTCGGGAGCATTGCTAGGCCTTTAAAGTGGTGTGCTCACACATCGTAGACAGAAGAGACGAGTATCTGAGTTCTGTAACAACAGTCATGGAGCTTTGAGGACGACTGTCATGAGCTGCAGTACTGTCGATTACCCCGTGAAGGGATTCCCCACACACAGATGGCCTCCCCTCATACGGGGGGGAGCAGCGATCCCCTCTCCACATATCTAGGCAGCTTAGTGCATTTCACCGGTTAGTAGTGATGGCGGTGTGCAGAGTAATGTCGAGGCAGGCAATAGTTTGATATTTCTCCGGAAGCTTTACGAACCGGCTAACTCCCCTTGTTCGCTCAAACGGTGGGATCTTTCTCAAAAGCTGCCCTTTCATGTGGAATCAACCAACTACGTGGCGCCTCGTCGCGTTGGCAAAGGTACAATAGGCCCGTTGCATCTACCTAAGAATATCTTGACAGCTCCAACGATTTCTGAAGAGTGTATTCGCTTCCACTGCCCTTTGAAGGATGAGAGGTGTCATGATGTAAGGTCAGTGGGTAAACTCGCTTCCGTGGAAGTGCATATTCTTCCTTCAGACGCAACAGAAGGTATTGGTGCACTTGGACGAGAATGAGAAGGCATGGGCATAGGGGCAACACCAAGAGCAAAAGAGTTGCATTCCCCCATAGAAGACCACGACTAAATAGGCCTTCAGCGATGCGCTCCGGATTATATCTATTGGCAAGTTGGCAAGAAAAAGCATTGGAAATAATAGGAAATTAATCAAGCATATGCATTGAAAATCGAATTGTACACGAACGTTGTGTTGAACCCGGAAACTCCGTATCAGCTATTTGTAGCAGACTAGCCGAGCTAATCGAGTGTTTATTCACCAAGGATTGTTCATTAGCACTTCTAGCGCGCTAACTGAGAAGCACAGAATAAGCTCTGGGATTAAACCAAATGGAGCCTGCGGATATTTGGGCAGAGATTGCCAGTGCTTTACAGACCAGGATAGGATAAGGACCAAGAACAGTCGCGACCTCCCGGTTGGATCGATTTACGACCATATAATCCTATTCATGCTGTGGAAGACCCAGCTGGTTGGAAAACCGCGGCCCCATGACGGCACCCCACGGACCGAGGCCCAATTCTTTACGAAGACAGAGGTTTTGGGGGGCCTTGATCCACTTAAATCTCACTGAAGAGCAAAATTATTCGCAGTTAAAGAAAGTGTTCTGAGGCAAACCAAACGACGAGGAGCTCCCATCTTGCCATTTATCCCCCTTGGGACCAAAGGAAACGTACCGACTGTCCACTGTTGTTTTCTTTGCCGTTGCACGGGCGTAATCAAATGTTCTGAACGAAGACTGTGGGAAAGTAATTTTTCTGGCATGCGCCCTTGCACCTTTGAAGCTGAGAGCGAACTAAGGCTACGATTCGTCACTGTCCACCATATTTTGCTTCCCACTGTTTGCTGCAGTATAAGGTGAAGATATTTCTGAATCATTGCGGCAGTAGGTAGGAAGCACTCCACTATGGGAGAGCGAGTCAGACCACTTAAGGGTACAACCGGAAGAAATATTGCTCTGGGACTAGAATCTCAGGCTCGAAACGCGCTTGATGAGCCGTGTTGGACAAAACAAACGTGAAAGATATTTCCTCCCTTCTTCACATGAGCAATTTACTGGTGGCGCTTCTTATTTCACGAAGGCGTCACAGCAGAGCAGTCGAAACCGTCTCAGCTGCGAATTCCTACACCCAGCATTCGACATGGAGCACAATGAAAATCGGGGTAATATTAGCATAATCACCAATTATATTTAAATGGAAGAGGTGTAAAATGTATGTTAGAAGGCTTTTGCGGTCACTTCAAGGCGAGAAACACTCAGGAGCAGCTTCCGGCCTGTTGAAGCAATGTCGGCTGCTCCTTGTGTGTAGCAGAACGAATAGGAGGAGAGCGAGAGAGGGGATTTACCAGTACTCCTGTCATTCCTTCTTTCAAAACTGAAAGTAACTTCCGGTGACCACAATAAACTGACTGCCCAAGTCAGCTAGTTACGTAGGCTGAAAAACTGACGCAGGTTTCCTTTCACCCGCTCTGCTCGCCTCCCAGCTGTTGGCGGCGGTTACACGGTGGATGTGGTGAGGCAGTCAAAGGCACTGCTAAGGCTTATTATCCTCTTTATACTTCATTATCTACCTCATTCAGAGGTTCCGAACCTGTTGAAGCTCCGATATATCTTCATGTCCACCGGGAAGTTGAGCCGCAGCGACGGAAGGTGAGAGAAGTAGGCGTGTGGGGTTCACACCGCTATACAGCCACGTTCCAGTGGGCTTCTTCGTTCCAGGAGCATTCTTCTTTCTCTAACAGGTCCTTGTAGAAGGTGGAAGCTCCATAAGTGGTGGAGAAGCCTTGGCAACATCATCTCTTTTTGTCATCTACCCAGCATGCGCACACCGACGATCTGAATAGGTAGAAATGGCGAAAGAAGGACAGGAGGGGCAACAGGAGCCCTTGCCTTTTTTAGAAGACGCAAAGGCGAATGCATTTCTCCTTGAGCTTCCCGTTGACGGCGGCCGGACGCTACTGTGCACAGTCCGACGCCACCCTGAAGATACCAGTTTCGGCAAGGAGACTGTACAGGTTCTGTTATCTTTCAAGGAGCCCTTTTTTGGAGAAAACGAATCCACCAAGGAACTGCTACTTCACTGGTAAGTGAGGGGGCGTGTCGGTAGGAGGTCTGGTGAGCTAGCTTGTGTGCAAACAATCCCGACATTCTTCACATTGCAATGCTCTGGCGTATGCATCCACACTCAGTCGTCTGCTTAAAAACCAAAATAAGTTGCCTTCTGCTCTGCAGGGGAGTCGCTAAGAACCCGGGGGAGTGGCTGCCTCCTGACGGCGACTTGAGGAAGCAGCTGTGCTGTGGCGGTCAGCCCGTGAAGGTCGCAGACACGGCGACAGATATTCCCTTTCCGTCTCCTAGTTCCAGCCCGCCAACAGTACTTGAGTTGACTTTCCCAGAAGATGTGGCCCCGGACTACATGGTGTTCGTGTTGCACTCCCCCCCGCGTGATTGGTTCAAGCAGCCTTCCCCAGGAAGGCCATCTACGAATTTCATGCTTCCTCTAAAGCAAACACTCAAACAGATATTGTCGAGAAGCTCCTTTCTTAAAGCCATATATGCCTACAAACAGACACAGCCTCTGCAAGAAACCAAACCCTCCAGCACTCAGTGCGTCCACCAACAGCACCTTTCCACTGGCTGTCCGTAGCCATCTCGTCTCCTGCAGTTTTTGCCAGGCAAATAATCACTTGAAATAATTAAGATGGCTAAACACTTTGCAGGTGTGTTGATTGCTTGCAATGATCAACATGGAATAGCGAAGAATGTCAGCAACAATGAAATGCATCACCAAGTCCAATGCCCGGCATAGCGTGCAATTGGCACCCTAACGCATGTCTCAAAGGCTTTTCCCGCAATTACAGAAAAATGGTAATTTTGCGAAGTGCAGTGTGCTTCAATTCATAGGTACTGGCGAGTTGCGGTGAATGACGGTGGAATGCAACTAGTGGCCATGACGTTCGTGGACAAAGAATCCTGCGGATTAGAGCTCTTCTGCGATTGGCCAGCAGCTCTTCTGCTTCACTGGGGAACAGCGGAAACCCAACAAAGCCCCTGGAAACGCATGGAGCTCAATAAAATGCTGGTGCACGTTGACAGCGAAGGGCATCAGATGCAGCACCCGCGTTGCCAAGACTACCTGGAAAAGTACAAAAGGGAGGAGTCCAAACGGAACACCAACGAAGAAAAGAAAGCGAGCTCCGGGAAGGCATGCAATGCTGAAGAACGGGAAAATTTCAGTAAAGACTCATCAGTAGACGCGTGCCACCTAGAGACGCTATACGGGACGTTCGGTCACTACGCCATAGACGACAAGGCAGCACAAACCTTATTTGAGGTATAAAGTGGATCTGATATCTCATCGTGCATATATGCGGACCAGCTGACGTGAGGTGATCTGTTTTCAGGAGGTTAGACACAAGTGTGGGAACATGTGCTAGCGCCAAAGTTAGCTGCAAGAAATTTCTGTATTGTAATTTTACTGTGCATGAAGTATTCGCACTGATGCATGATTATGCATGCACACAGTGTGAGCGGTTTCACGGGGAAAGTCAACACTAAAGAACATCACAAAATGTTCAGATTGAATTCATTTTTTGCTGCCGTTTGACGCGCCTACGACACCAGTAGAGTTGTGCGTCATCTGCATTTTCCCCTCATGTGTGTTGCTTGCGTTTAGTTCTGCGAGACGTCGCGTAGCGTGGGCTTTCAGCGCGTGGCTCTCTGTTTCAGGGGAGACGCTGTGCCTTGCGGGGTTTCGTTTGTGTTGAAAGAGGTGAAAGCAGATCGTTGGTTTGCGGACCAAACAGGGGACTTCTTCGTAAAACTCCCGACACATCCTCATTGGGAGGCACTGCGCGAAAAGTACCGGAAGATTGCAGAGTTGCGAGCGGCTGAGGAGGCCAAGAAGGTAGAGGAGCGAAAGAAAAAGTGGGATAAAGCTCAGCAAGCATTCAACAAGCTTGCTCAGGAGCAGTGAGGCAAAGATGATGAGTACCACACGCATAAGCGCGACATACGAACGCACGGCTTTCATAGACGGCGATCTTCTCTTGTTTTCAGTCCACAGCGCTATTGATGTTCCCTTAGGATGTTTCATAAGGAGCGGGCTAGGGGGCAAACTGGGACAGTGTCGATTTGAAAGGCATATGCTGCATGCGGCCGGGCGGGGGGAGGGGGGGGAATCGAAGGATTCAAGGGCGGTGCAGCGTACCCTGCAAACTGGGACAGTGTCAATTTGAAAGGCATATACTCTGCATGCTGCGCTGCATGCTGCCGACACTGCAGGAACCCCGAAACTGCCCTCACGTTGCGTCGAGTGCCTCTCTCCAATGGCGTGGGAGAACTTCTGGTGAAGACAGAGGCTGACGCGTCTAAGCAAAGCATCCTCATCTCACTGACGGCTTGTCTGCAAACCCCTTGTATGTTGAGGTGGGGTATGGTTGACATTATGGGAAGAAAACAAACGGAACTCCATCGGGAGGCTGAGGCCGGTGGAGGGCCCCGGAGTGATACAGGAAAAGGCGGGAGGTACCAATGGATTTGCCCCCCTCCTGATATCAGGCCTCCCCATACAGTAGTGGCGGATCCACTTCGGTAAGCTAAAAGCAGTAGCGGATCACGTGCTTGCACTCCATTGTAACTGCTTCAAAGCAGCCACCAAGTTCCTGTAATTACCGGCTCCCCTGTACTAGAGGAGCTCCGGGTGGCCAGAAGTAGCCAGGTGTGCTCTGTTTGGGACGCAGGGCTTGCGAGACACCCTTTGAAGATAGTCCTGATGGCCTTTTGCAGCACCTAGAGATACACGTCCCAGCAGTCAAAACCACTCCCCACTTCCAAGGGGATCCCGGAATTGAGCCACTCTTCGATGGCTTTGCCTGCTGCCTAAGGGAAAGGGATGCCGACAAATGGTACAAGGCTATTGACAATCGTGACATTCAAGTATGCACTTCCCTGAAAGAAATGGTGCAGTTTATTTGCTGCTGTGCTTTGAAGCCTACTGAAGAGGAGAGCGGATCTTGAGTACGTGGCGCCTTGTGTAGCAGCGGAAAGCCGTGCTGCTACCCACCTTTTTCACGTCGCTCAGGAGTTTGACACGATGTTCGTCTCTGGTATTGCAGGTCCGCTTGCTGGACGTGGAAAATATGCCGTGTAAGGGGGAGAACCGCGAATACCTGGAAAAGATCGTGGAGGCCGAGGTGGAGTGGCAACACATGACATTGATGCATAGATACAATCTGATGCGTGAGTTTTACGAATCCTTTTCGAGGCGATCTGAGGCCAGACTTTCGTCATCTTCGGACTATTGCAAACGGTCTCAAAGCGCCGCAGAGCTGGCGCGCACTTGGCTGCAGAGGCAGTGGGAGGGGGACGAGGCGCCGTTGCCTGAGGGATTCGGGGCCTGCATGGAGAAAGCCTTGTCTGCCCACAATCTCCTTGCATGCGGTGACCTTGCTGCCACTGAGGCCGCAGAGGAGACCGACTTCTGGGAGCTGATGCACACATGGGCCCGTTTTGCATTTCTAGGGCTGCTGGATTGGCAAAGGAATTACAATACAAAGCCTCGAGAGTTGGCCCACGCATGCGAATCCCTGACGTTCTACACTGTCAAACTCTGGCGAAACTTTCCCACTCACCGTCCGCTGATTCGCTCGTGCCTCAGCACTATGGGTAGAGGTGGCTCGCAGGGTCAGGCTATCAGAGACCGAATCCTAGAGATCATGCACAAGCATCATATACCTGAACATGGATCCTTCTATGAACAGTGGCACCAAAAGCTCCACAACAATACCACTCCAGACGACATCGGCATCTGCAGAGTAAGGCACAGTGACTTTCCGTAGCATTATGGGGTAGGCACCACCCAGAGTCATGCGAAGTACTTGCACAGCCCCACCTGCTGTTGCCTCTCCACTGGAAGCAGCTTTCCTGTGAGACATCCGAGCCACCGGGTCTTCTAAAAGTTTTCCCTGTGAGCAGGGCGTAAGGGGCTGCAGAACACACTGGAGTGCTTGGGTTATTTTAAGGCTCCTTGTCCTTGACCGCGTTAATTCAATGTGGGGTTTGCTTCTTCTGCTTGTAACCACGAGATGATATCTCGTTGGGGTTTTATTCAAGTGCCAGCTGCCTTCACCAGTTGTCTTGTGCATCTCCAGGCTGTAATTGCATTTCTCGAGAGCCGCGGAGACCATTCAGCATTCTGGCGAGTTCTAAATGATCATGGAATCACAAAGGAACGGCTCGCCAGCTACGAGAGGAAGATTACTATGGAGCCCCATATGGTGCAAACAGACATAAATGAACTTGTAAATGACTTCAAAGCATACCTTAGCGTGATCCAGGATGTGCACGATGCAAGGGATGCTCGAGTAAGTGTTATCTTTTCCTTGCTTAAACACCTCTGTCCGCTATGGCAACATATACAAAACTCACTGCCCACCACAACGCAACACAGCACAACCGCTACAGTTCAGCATCCAGAAGGTGTCAACCAATGCAGCGAATTGTACCTTGTGAGCGGATCTGCCATGGGACGTTCAGAAAGCATTTGACTACGCCCGCGGGTACCTCGCCGGGGACACCATCCAAATTGTAGAAAGAGTGGTGTGGGAGATGGGACAGCGGACAGACAACATGGGGGCGGGGGAGCTACACAACCGTTTTGCCCGTTTATCAGAGGCACGTCGGCTCATTTGTTTCCAGCTAAATGAGAGCGGTGGTCTTGACACTTCAGACAACTCAAAGATTGCCGGAACGAGGGAACTTCTGATGCTGGACTTCGTCTTGGAGCAGCAGCAAGGACTGTTGCTCCAAGCCACGGCTTCCTTCGATGTACAGCAACTTGCAATGCACCTTAGAGAACTCCTACTGTGCCTTTCTGCCCACGACCCGTTCAATGTTGAGCTCACGTGAGTACTTCCAATTTTTGGCATGAAGCGCTAAGCTGCTGCGGGGATTCCCGCTGCTAAAAGGTATCCATTGGATTTCCCGTCTATACATCCTAGCCTGTGGACCTTCAACCAGCGTTTTACCCATTCTCCTGAAGATGCTGGCCTGGCACCACATTTCGCTGGATATTACTCTGCACATTTTGCACAAAGCTGTCCGACTGACACTGTACTAACTGACGCCCCTAGTCTAAGCAAGAAACTGTCTCGAATGCACTTTCTGATTTCGTTCCCACGGTATCGCAGGAATTTGTGCGCTGACTGGCAGCACCTGTCTGGAGAACTCGCAGCTAAATGCGCCTCTGGAGATAGCTCAGACAACGAATGCCGGGAAGGAGCTCTACTATTGAAGGCCTTGTTAGATCGTTTGTCGCGTTTTGTCGGCAAGCAGGTGGACTCTGTGCAGGAGGGTCTAGGGCCGAAGGCACAGTACTTGGGGGCGCAAGTAGGAACCGACAAAAAGGTTCTAGACGTTTTCGTAGATGAGATCCTACGGGGGTCTTCCCTACTGAGTATCTCGTTTTCAGTCAAGCGCCTTGAACCCCTGCTGAGGAAGGCAGCGAAGCTTCCTGCCTGGCAACTCATTTCAGTAGTAGAAAAAGTCAGGGGTGAATTTGTCACAATTAATGAGCTCTCGGGCATCCAGGTAAGTTGGTACTAGGGCTTCCCCTATCTCTTTAGCGTGCCCTCGTTGCATGGTTGCCTGTTCATGAGGATGCGGTGCCGCTAAGCTGTATCTTGGCTACTATTGGAGAGACTTAACTTAAAGGAGTTCGCATGGGACGATTGTAGGTGTATTCTTTCCAGAGAAGTGGTTAGGGCATCCCGAATGTTCTAATACTTCACTTCCTGTGCGACAACTCAGGATAAGGTATTTGAATCGCCAACAGTCCTGTTTTGCAGTGCTGTGAGCGGTGAAGAGGAGATTCCCGAAGGTGTCCAGGCCGTTCTAGTCCGTTCTGCAGCTGTTTCCCCCGATATCCTCAGCCATGTCTCTGTCCGAGCACGGAACGCCCACGTGCTGTTGGCTGTGTGCTTTGACGAGGCGGAAAGTCGCAAACTCGTGAGACAGACAACATGATTTTAAATCCGCATGCGGTTACATCGTAGTGTAGACAATAGTGTCGGGCTGAATTGGGAGTGGGGTAGTCTATAAAAGAGTCTTTGTCCATGTAGGGTGTTCGGCACTGGCCTTCCTGCGTTGTGCGCTAATATAGGAACAGCTGGCTGGGCAGTGGGTGGAGGTCCAGTGCATGCGCGATGGCAGCAGTCTAAGTGTGGCGGTGGCGCACAACGGGAAGCCCGACTCGTTGATACAGAGGACCTGTTCCAGCCTCTTTGACCGTAAGGTTTCTCAGCTGACCCTGGAAACGCATGAGGAAGAAGAACTCCGTAAATCTATTAAACATGCAGACAAAAACGTGGCGATTCTCGATGCTCCTACGGATGCTCCATGGGCCATCACTTTAGACAAGTTCACTTCGTAAGCAGACACACGTACAAGTGTTCGTGGCCTTGTCAATGCAGAATGTGAGAGGCTTATCTATGCAGTTCAGCTGTTTTCAGTAGTGCCTTTTGCTGCAGTACAGGAAGGTGGATTGCTACTCGCCCGTGCTTCTGAATGTGGTCACAAGGGGGAGAGCCCGTGCAAGATATTGATGCTTCTTATGGCGTTGTTGCATCGGCCGTGCACGAACGGCAGCAGTTGGGAACGGGAATTGCTTAGCTAGCGGCATTTTTGCCATTTGTTTTGTCTTCCATTAGGTCCTTGGTTGGGTCAAAGTCATTGAATATCGCGAAACTGAAGTCAAGCCTTCCCAAAGATGTGCTGACCCCTTACTCGGTTGCTCTCCCTTTTGGCAGTTTGCAGCGTACACTCCATGCGTCTGAGAATGCAGAGACATTGAGGTCTCTTAGTGCTGCCTTGCGGCGCTTGTCTATTCGTCTCAAGAACTCGGAAGCAGAGGCCATCTTCGACGTATGCCAGAAGTCCATTGCAAATGTTTCAATCCCCAAAGACCTTCGCCAGGCTCTCGAAGAAGCTCTTCAAAGCAGCGATGCCCAAGGAGCTATCAGTAATATTGCCAACTTGGGGCTGCGGCCTCACCTGATGGATCTTTGGAAAGAGGCGGGCGACTCCAAGTGCACACGCGCCCTGGTTGAAGTGTGGGCTTCTCTTTTCGGACTGCGCCCATGGGTTTCACTTACTAAAGCATCTCGAGACTACTGCGAACTTAACATGGCTGTTCTAGTTCAAGTAGGTGTTTGGCGCCCAAATCTCTGTCCTTGTTTTCTAGTTGCCCCATAATCACTTGATAGAGGCGGTTCCTGCAGCGGTATATGAGATGTTAAATTATATTTCCCTAGCCGTGAGCACTCCTGGTGTGTTCAACGCAATGGTCATGTGAACATAAGGCTCAGTTCAAGCAAGTTATTTGTCGTGTAGGAACTCCTCCCAGTTCGTTATTCATTCGTTTTGCATACGAAGAATCCATTTTCACAGGACGAGAATGAGTTGTACGGAGAAATCGCGCCAGGTGAGTTGTTGCGCTTGCTGACAGAACTTGAGGACTGTGTAGCCTGTCAATGGAATGGTGCCTAAAGTGTCTAGAGCCAAGGAGAGCAGCCAACGCACCTTCATTGAACCTCACGTTTTGCCTGACGGTTTGCCATCCCGTCTAGCCCTGCAGAGCTTTGGCCGCGATGCGGAGATTCAGTAACCACCTGTGTCGTTTTTGGCTGGCCGACCGGCTGCGCTGCAGGACTTGGGGAAGTCATTGTCGGCAATTACGCCGGGCGTGCTTTAGGATGGACACAAACGCGCAGTGGGGAACCTAGAGTTATTGCTTTTCCCAGCAAAAGCGTCGCCCTCACATGCAAGCAGTGTCTAATTTTCCGGTGGGTGCCTCAGGAGTAGAAAACTTTGCCACCGAGATTGAGAAATCCCTTCATGCATCGACATGCCGTTGTTGGCTTTTCGCTGCCGGTGCAGGTCGGACTCAAACGGAGAGGACCTCGAAGGCTTTGCTGGAGCTGGGCTGTTTGAGTCCATCCCTGCAGAACGAGCATTTTGGCTGCCTCTCTGTTACTGGAGACAGCGCCTCGTTAGCGACAGACTTTATAGAGATGCGCTTCTGTCCAAGATAAGTAAAGTGAGCTAACATAGTTAAACTCCTGAGCGCCGAGTGCACCCAGGTCAGGATATCCCCAAGATAGGATGACCCATGGAGTTATGTTGGGCAGCATGCAGTTTCGAAGTAAACTGCATGCAGTCCTCTGCAACCAACTGTTTTTTATGGGAAATTTCGTTTCATTGTCTGTGATGCAGGTTGGAAGGCTCGTGGAAGAAGTCTACGGGGCCCCACAAGACATTGAGGGAGTTGTCATCGGTGACGACACCGTTGCACTTGTGCAGACAAGACCCCAGGTCTAGATATTGACACCTAGTAATACATCGCGCTTTTATTCAGTCACAATGACGCAAGCAACGGCAACGGCAAGTGAAAATGCGTCTGCACAAGATCTGCGTGTTAAGTTATCGTGTACGCACAAGTCATTAGGCGCACTTGTCTACGCATGCAACATGACTGTTCTAGCAGTGCATCACATCCCTTCATTGCACGCGAGCTGCACAAGCTCGGCGCTATGTGCCATTGACGAGTGACGACGACTGGTCAAAACATCCCGTTCCCAACTGCCGGCCAATGCGACATCCCATCCACGGGAGACTGCCAATGCCCAAATCCTTTTTTCCCGTTGTCACCTTGTCATCCAGGGTTGCGCAGCTACTGGGTGGCACTATCCCGAGCTGTCTCCCAGGCATGCATCTTGAAAGATCCATATATATTAAAAGTACTGGCGACACATCCGAGCTGCGCAAATAGCTAACGCTCATCTCCTATAAAGTAGCGCACCGCCCAGCCACGACAGGGTGGCCGCGCAATGAAAAGACACAAAACCGACACACTCCGCAGAGTACTGTTGCTGTTTTAGTGTCCGCAGGCTCTCCTGCGTAACAAAGCAGGTCAAAAGTACAAAAAAAAAAGCAAAATTCCTCTCAAACCATTAGTTTGAGAGGCGCCTGCAATCTTCAACTGGCAGCGTTAAGTGCAGTGGCAGTGTGAAGCCAGCTGGCACCCATTCCAGCTTTGACTGACGTGAAACCAAATAGACAAACGACGGTTTAACAGTGAGCGCTCTAACTTTAAAAAAATTGGGACACATACGCTGCAACCCTTCGGGATGCCCCTCAGCTTGCTTCTCTGTCGTTAACATGCACCGCATCAGCAACAAACTCATCTTCGAACACATCGCATATTTTTGCAAAGAATCCGCGGACAACCGCAGTCAAGTCGAGCAACTGCATTTTGAAAGCAATAAGATCTGCAGGATCCCTATCGATGTACGCTTTTGGTTCGAAGGTTTCGAGCCGTTCCTGAAGGAGGTCCAGACTTCTTTCGAGCTGTCCTTGATGAAACTCAAACAGATGCTTCTGTCGTGTTTCCGGGAACTCAGCAAAAAATGCAAATGCATATGACCACTTCAGCATTCGCCTACACTCCACCACTTGCAGCCAACCCTTCTCCAAAAAGTCCCAGTCAAAGTCCCCGAAACCGGCGGGGCTTTCTGCATCCCTACTGCTGGAAGGGGATGCGCCACTTCGTTCTCCTGCTATGCTAGGGCTGCTGCTCTCCGAACCACAACCGTTGGGAACTTTGTCCACTTCGACACTATTTGAGGTGTGGAACCCACCTGTTGGTGATGAGCGCATGCCAGCTCCAGCTGCAATGGCAGCAACCTCCCTACATTTGTGTAGCTGGCTCGATTGCATGCGCGTTGCCACTTGCTGGCCGTGGTTGTGGGCTCTGTAGCGTTCAAAGAAGTGCGCATATCTCTCAAGTGAGTGTTGTGCGTCCGCGTTGCCGCCGTTCTGCTGAGATTCACCGCCTCGCTGCTCATAAACATTGCACCGATAAAAACTCCTAGTTGAGTGCTGCTTCCAGTCACCAAGACACAACCAGCAGAACTCATGTTGGCAATAGCAGCGCATGTGCATGCAGCCCTTGTCTTTTTGAATTGGTCGATGGCATTTGGGGCAGGGCTGTGTATTGCATGAGATCCAAGTCACGCTGTCGGCCTCTCTCACATTCTTCCGCATCCAAGCTGCGATCACGCGACAAGAAATGGGCCGGTGAGGCTCATTGCCACACAATACACAAAATCGAGTGCCGCAACTGCATGTAACGTCAGCCACCGGCGCAACTTCTGCGGCTGATAAGTTGCAAAAGGAAGATTCAGTATCGGAGCAACTCATCGCTGCTGGAACCAACTCCACTGCTTGCTCGCAGGTGGGCGATGGGCACCAGGCCACAGCCAGATGCTTCCCCACAAACTGCTCGCGAGCAAACATCCGCAGGCGGGCCACTGCTGTCGGCCCCCGGAAAAAATGCCACACATCCATGGTTATGATCTCCAGACATCCAGGAAAAGGGCACCTGGATGACGGCAAGCATAAACAAACAAATACACTGGAATCACCTTGAATGTAGATCGACAGTGTATTACCTCACAAAGCTAGCATGACCTTAGCACTTCCGCAAGGTCGCACAGCAACTAAGAGGGCCAACTACTCACAATTGAGTAAATCTACATACTGGGAACGCCATATTGTAGTGGAGCGCACGCTCCACGCACGGCTAATGGAGGTTCTCATTGCTTTGTGGGAATGATGCATATGTTACATTGGCTACCTATCCGAGTACTTTTAGTAGCCATCAGTAGTCACAAGGCCCTCTTTTTCATTTCACCCCACCGCCGGTTTCAAAGCGCCAAAACGCAGTGCATCAACCTTTACAATAACTCACCGAACAACGACGTCTGCTATTGAATTCGTCTAAACGCTTCACATGGACAGAACAGCTCCCCTTAAACGATACCTCACACACGAATGCTGCGATAAGTTGCCTTCAGGCAGGCCACTGCCACTCACCGGGCATCAAGAGCGCGTTGCGGACTCTCGGCCACCAACGCGTCTAAATATCCTATCCAGGCGCTGATACAAACAAAACGACACACTCATAATGTCCCCATTACTCTACTGTGCAAGGTAACTAAGATTTCGCCAAGTAGAGGCATCAAGACGTGTTCGAACGGTGAAATTTAGCCTTTGCTTACGCGTTGGAAAAACGGTGGTTGCACTTGAGAGCAAAAGTGTCGGTCAGCGGAACAAGATTTGCAGTGACGGGGCATTCAAACATGTCATCAGCACGGTCATTACTGGGTGCATCCGCAGAAGACGGAGGGTTTCTCGTTGAACCTTGGTGGGCTTCCGACCGGCTAAGATCAGAAGGTTGGTCTCTGGCGACTGGTGCAGCTCCGTTACAGTCCTTCTCCGCTTCCCAAAGTTCAGGCGGAAGCCTTCCCTACATCACCAATCACATTCTCACCATCCAACAATTCAATAGCTCTTCAACCGATACAGGTACGACCAACAGGGGTTCCTGGTGGGGAACACCACCATGTAAGCACAGTGTGGGACAGGCAAATTAGCGGTAGATCGGCCGAACGCTCAACCGGAGCAAGTCAAACTTCATGCCCTAATATTCTATGCATACCTTCCGAAGAACTGCTGCGCCGTCATTGAACCACTCCTGGACTAAGGCATCACTTCTCCAATCAAACGCGCGCAGTAGAATTCTGCATGCATTGACGAACAGCCCAACACCTGTGCCCACAAAGTGAAGTCCAACACGAAACGAATGCCGCCGGATCCGTGGAGAGCGATAGTGTACTCAAACGCAACGGGAGGAAAACTAACCCAACGACAGCTTCGTTCAACCCCATGAGGCCTGCAGTTTCGTGGACAAGTTCGTCAATCCTCCTATCCAAGGACTCCGGTGAGTGGTACCGGGGGACGAGACCCTGGAAACACACTTCAGACTTCGTAAAACCTCAACAAGCCAGACTTCCACCACAATTAAGTCTAACGGACATTGGCGAGTGTTCAAGTCAAACAGGTGAGAATACACAGCGAGTCCCTCTGGGTCGGGAGTCTCAATGAATGGTTGGGCCTTTATTAACGTCTTAGAAAATCATACCTTTGCCTTGGGGGAGGCATGGGCACTGGCCATAAGTTCATCGTCATCGAAGAGGAAGTCATCAATCTCGCAGTCCTCAGCGCATGCATCATCAGTGAGCACCTCCATTCTTCTTGAGTGTCTGTTGTTACACCACGACTGAAAGGTGGAGAACTCAGCGACGCCCTGTGCTCCCCAAATGAAGACACAAGACAACCCTCCGTTATGCAGCGCTGGATAGACCGCTCCCCAATGAAAACCACACGCGTGGTTCCTACCGTCCAGCAACGTGCGCCGTGAGCCGATTCAAAAGCGCATTTAAAGTCATTCGAATCGTGCAGCGCTTAAAGAGATATCAACTCGTTGGTACCCGGAATAAACGAGAAGGGCAAGGAAAATAATGTGTTCGGGAGGCTCCAGTCCGGCTTTCCCGTCTCTCAGGCGACTACGCGTCACTGGGGCGCATCTCCTCGTAACGCCTCCTGGAGAACTTTCGCAAAAAGCTGTGAAGCTTTTACATAAGAAAAAAAAGGCAATGGAGGTTTCCTCTCGTGGACTGAGTTGGCATGCCCAGCGCTTCCCGAAGCCCCATGACGTAGCAGCAAGGGCTTATACTATGTCCACAGCGGAAAGGAGCTACGCAATTGATACTTTTCGCTAACACTGCTATTTCTTGCCCATTGCAAGATGTCAGGAGGCATACAGGACGGGATCATAGACTTTCTTTGTGGACACATGCGTGTGTCCGAGTGTCCCGCTTAGTACGTCTGAAGGTTGACGGCATCAACGTGTATTGCTGAGCAACCGCGCACGCAACAACTTGTGTCTTACAACTTTGTACGAGCGGTGGACAGGGGAATTGCAGAGGTTCGAATTGCAGAGGTTCGGGCTTCCTTGTGCTCTTCCCTGTTGAGGAGGGTTTGTATTTGAGTGAACATCAAGTTCAAGTTCAATATTCATCGTCTAGAGGCGTTTCTGCCACGGTGCCCAAGGGTTCTCACGTCCGGCATCGGATTGGCCATGGCTTTGAGGTGGGGATATGAGGCCGTATAGGGTACTCTTACCACCTCTTGTGCTGCGAACTGACAGTTGTGGCGCAACTGAGCTGCCGATGCTCACCACCTGCAAGCTGCAAAGGAGCGAACAGAGGTCGTCAAGACAACTGGCCGTCAGTATTACGCAATCGGAAATCATCCTCGGCTACAGAACCGACAGAATTGATGAAGGTACGGAAAGTTTCTGTTCCATTCAGCTGCCCGCGTGGGAAGGCACAATGCATTCGCCAGTCTCTGGCAATGCAACGCAGTGTTATCCTATTCATGGTTAGCTCGTCTCACAGAAGAAAAAGCAGTGGCGCAGTTGGGAATGGTCTTCAGACGTGTATATCACGATGAATCAGCATTCCCGGCTTACGCCAAACCTCCGAGCATTCAGCGAGTTGCATTACCCGGCTTATTTCCAAGCCCCGAGCAACCACTGCACGAAAGCTATTTTTTAGTTCCTCTGTCACCTTCACCCAGCGAACGGATGCAGGGAAGCTTCTACAGGCCAGCGTAAATAGCAACATGGACATGGGATATACGAACTGAAGGGGTAGACGAAATCGTGCGGAAATTGTTCCCAATTTTATGCTGTGCTACGGCGTCGGCAAAATGTTAGTTCTATTTATATATTCAAGGAAACGGTGTAATCGGTTAATAAGCGCACCGTGCCTGCCCCAAACGGGAGCACCGGTGAACCCTTAGAAGCCTACCCGAAACTCTGGACGCCTTCTTCTGGATATCTGCTCGGTAGCCTTGTAGCGGCGGCCTCTGCATGCGTAGCTACTTCCAATCCTACAATGTGGGGAAGTGCGCGAAGGTAGCGGAATCATTCACCTGACCTCCTTGCTACTGCTACCACCGTCTTCCCTTCTGTGTAACTTTGTCTGACGGCTAGAGGGCAAGTTCGCATGTGCCGCAGCTTCAAGGTCATCCATCCATCGTAATCGTCGGCTGTTTTCCTCTACACTGCATCAGAGGCTTGCGCTGACGCCTGTAGCCTCCGCCTTCATAGCCCTGTGGGCACGCCTGTGCCCGTTGCTATTTTCTAAATAGTGTAAAAGATCACGTAAATGCTGCTTCTCTTGTACCCTCATATGGATATTTGCAAAGGCACCTACAGGCAGACATGGAGTCCAGAGCGGTTGCTCAAGCGCATTCTTCCAATGCCGCACATGCTGAAATGAAATGCATGTAGCAAGCCAGAGGAGAGATGGGGACATTGCTTGGGCTCATAGAGAAAACAAACAAGAGATGCTCAACGCCAAGTGTGGGCCCAACCACTGCAGGAAGAACGAAGGCAGTGGTCTCCCCAGGGATGCCAGTGCCCTATTGCAGTAGAAGCAAGGGAAGAAGGTACAAAACTAGCAATCACACAATGCCAGAAGTTGCGGAGAAGCCAACACAAAGCTGAGAGATTGGGGGGAGACAAACCAAAAACGGCAAAACTCGACTGTCCACAGTCTGCACCGGTCGGTCTAGCCTCGGTATAGCCGAAGTTCAGGGAAAAGAGAAATCATATTGGCTTGTTGAAGAATGGTTTTCCAACGGGATGAAGCAACTGTAATCAAATACAGATGTAGCAATGAACTATTGTACGTGCAAAAACGAGCACATGAAAAACCACCAGCACGGCCCACCCACACATGAGACTGCTGTCTACATATATAGACTATATCTTCCCAAGCGGTTAGCATATGTTAGTTCTCACTCGTTAAATCTTATCTGAGTAATAATCTGCAAGGATTTAAGCCCTTGGAAAAGTCCGATGATCAAGACATAACGAGGGTCCGTGCGGGGCCCTGGGAGCCACGCAAGGCCTTTGCTCCTTGTAATAGCTTTCGCAAATCTGACAGGCAGCATGCTTTACGTTTTAGCAGTACGTTATTATTTGTTTGTGTGCCATATGTAGCTAGTTCGCTTAAGCTATTTCCGTACTGTTAGAGGCCAAGGTTTCACTGGCTCAGCGTGGCCTGAAGGCTCTACGGCAGCCAGTCTTCCCCTATACCCCTCTGCATGTCTTGGCTCATCTTGAACATAAAGATCTGTTTGCTCAAAGAGGGTCTACAACTGGTTCCCCGTAGAACCTTCCGCGGCAGCTATATGTGTTCCCATGGTCTATTGTGTAGCTGCATCTCCTTCCCTCGAATGCACATGAGTTTCGGGTTAAAGAATCGTTCATCAGCCGATGAAGCACAAGCGTGGTAGCGCATGCTGTGTGGAGAATGTTTGGGTCCAAGGAAAACCATGATGTTCGTGCTCTTAGCCTTGATGTACTTATGCCTCAGTCGCAGCGCTTTTTGTCTCTTCCTGAGGACTTCGGGGAGCCTGACGATATCCAGTTTGTACAGGACTCCCGACGTCAATTTTCCTGCATGGATACCTCCTACACCTCATTCTGAGCTCGTGTGGAACCGTTGCAGGCAGGCGTCTCGGACAGGCCAGCAGCAACGGAGGTCTCTGACCTCCAAATGGCGGGAAGATCCATCGACCAGCCCGTTTCACCTTGCGGCTGTTTCTTGTTCCATCCTTAGTTCCTCGAGTGGGAAGGGGAACCATCGGCAAGTACCTCTAGGGGCACCCAGTTCTGTTGCTCAGCAATCGCTCTTGCACGGCGCAGAGCCACAAAGAGCAGGAGCGGCTTCTTCTGTTCCTTCGCAAGATGTGTCAACTGGTGGAATGCAAGAGCTTCAGTCTGTTGAAATAGACGCAACACTAGATGGTATAAGCCGAGAAGGTCTGTTGCAGCTACTGGGAGAGCTGAAACGGCAAACTCCTGAGCTACTACGCCTTCTTCCCTCTCAGCAGACCTCGGCTCTCGACAGCTTGTCAACTGAGCAACTACGGAGTCTTGTGGAGCAGCTACTAAACTTAGCAGAGGCCGCGGACGTGCATACAACTGCTGACTCTGGAAGTGTGAGCTCAGACAAATGCTCCACCACCGCCTCTCGAGGTCAGTTGACGCCGCTGCAGGTGCAGCCCGCACCGCAAACGCAACATGCGAAGCAGCAAGTGGATACTGAAACCTCACACAAGCGGGAAAAGTGGGAACCAAAGAAGCACAAGCAGAAGGATCGGCCGGAGAAGGACAGTGGGGCGGATGTTCAACCTCTCCAGTGCGCCCTCGCCCAAGCTGAAAGCGCTGCTAGCGCTGCTGCTTCTGCAGCCTGCGTCGAAGCCCAACAGCTGCTCGAAATAGGCACTTCAGAGGAAGTTGGAGAAGGACTGTTTTCTGCACTACAGGAGCAAATGCCATTGCTACAGGAGGCTGACATTTGGGACCTACTGGTCGCCATGGGCCCTGTACTTCAGGCGTTGCTTCCTCCTGAAAACCCTCCACGAGAGCAGCCATTATTGGGGCAGCAACGGATGCGGGAGAGTCAGCAACAAGGTACCACAGAGAATTCTGTAGAAGCGCTGCTAGACGCAACGGCCGAAGAGCGACAAGCCCTGGCTCTAGAAGCAGCAGCCATCAATCAGTTCGTGGAGGCGAAGGTCGGGCCGTTGTCTTGGGCGGCTAAAAAGGACCTGCTACTAACACTTCTAGCAGTGGTCGAAGCCGAGGGATATTGTCCGAAGGAGCCTGAAGTACGCCAGCTCTTGGGGCTGGACACAGCGGGTGTTGGGGTGCCTCGCAATGCCTCTGCTGCAGGTGCTGCTGCTACTGGGGTTGTCTCTGAGCAGGCAGAGAGCATGAAATTCGGTGGACTGCCGGTTGTGTCAGCGTGGCGTCGGCTGCTGCAGTTGCCAGAGAACGCCCTTGAGGGTGAGAATCCCTTGTCTGCAGATGAGGCAGAGGCGCTTAGTGCAGAGGAGGTCAAGCTGCGCTACCTCCGTGTTATAAAGCAGGCCAGACAAGCGAGCATCAAGGCTTCGCTCAAGCTATGCGATTACGTCAAGCAATCTGAGAGTTCCTTTGAAGGGCCTGGATGCCAGTCATTGCCTGAAGAAAATCTTGCTGGCATCAGTTCCTCGGAGAGGACATTAGAAAACCAGGCACCCATCACAGCAGGTTCTCCGAAACCTCACGGCTCGGGGAATCCCAACCATTCACTACGGCAAGTCTCCGGTAGCGACTGCCTTCGCGGGAGGCTTGATGCACGTGCCGTGCCTCCGCCAATGGCTACAAATCCCGAGGCCGCTCTACAGGAATCCGCAAAACCGGCGATTAGTGAGGCGGTGCCTCCCAGGGTATGCAAAAGAGCTGAAAAACCGGATGTAGCTGTTGAAAGTACCACAACGGCGGTTTCCACAGCAAGCTCAGGAACACCTATCTTATATAATGGTGCTGCAGTCCATAGAGGACGCGGGGGGGATGCTCACACGCAAGAAGAGACCCTTATGGACCTTTCGCGGAAGTCAAAAGTTCCAAAGCCGGATTCCGCGGCAGCGGGAGATAGTGAAGACACTTCTTACAGCAGGAAGTTAACGGGTCTGACAGGTGGCACTGCTCGGTTTGCTGCTTTGGGTTTAAATACTGTTGTGAGCTCTGCAGCGGCAGCGTTTTTGGGAGGGGCGGCATCCAAACCGACTCCGACTCAGCGGCTCGTCGTACCTCACATATTAAAAGCATTCAAGAAGACTGAGTCGTGTAATTGGACGGCTGGCAAATCATCTATAGACAGTTTAGTGGCTCTGCGCGCACACACTGGAAGTGGAAAGACACTCGCCTTCTTGCTGCCGTTGATGCAGGCGTTGAGAGATCAAGAGGTGGCAAGTGCTGCGGCAGATAAGTGCAGTGTAAGAGATGAACTGGAATACGCAGACCTGATGGATTGCAAGGCTCTTGAGGAAACCGTTGGAGGGCACCACGATGCCAGCAGAACATTCGTCGGCTCAGGAAGGCCACGTGCGCTTGTGATATGCCCATCAAGGCCCCTGGCGTCCCAGGTTGCTTCTGTTGCAGCTGCCCTTGCCAAGCGGATCAGGCTTTCTGTCGGTTGCACTACAGGCGGGGTCGGAGCGGGGGACCAACTCCGGCTACTACGACGTCGCCCTGTGGATGTCCTCATTGGCACTCCAGACCGCTTACTGCGCCTAACGCGTCCCAGTAATACAGAGAGCAGACATTTCGAGACTGGAGAGAGGAGTAGCAGTACTCAGAGAGCCACTGGGGGGTTGCCAAGCCTCGACTACGTGCAGTTTTGCATTCTGGACGAGGCAGACGCGTCGTGGCATGGAGGCTTTAGAGAGGATGTTGAAAAATTGCTTATTCGCTCCCGCTTCCTCCACACAGCCTCACAACAAATAGGGGAACAAGAGAGGAAATGGGCTTACCCTAAGGTCCTCTTGACGTGCACGGCTACTCCTGATAGTGGGGTAGAGGCGGACCTTTGTACGCTGTTGGAGCTACCAGCTGAGAAGGTTTTCACTGTCTCGGGAGGCCCGCCTTTTCCTCCCCAGGCTCAGTTGCGCCATGAGATGATGCAGTCTCGTGGAGCCGACCGTTTTCTCTTATTGGTCGAACAAATAAAGATCCACCCAGAGCTGCGGGCCAAGAAAATTCTGGTCTTCTGCAACACAGTCGACAGCTGTCGCGCCTGCTGTCACCATCTGCAAGCGGCAGACCTTCCTGCAGAGGTACCCGTGGAACTCCTGGAAGGAGAAGAGAGAGAATGTGACGTTGGCTGTTGGCTGTAGATTGGTTCCTACTGCTTCGGAAAGCGATCCTGTTCCGATGCTTGATCTACTGACCTACTGGTGAAGGTGCCTGTAGCCGAATTCAAGATGTGCGGGAACGTCGTGGAAACCCTGGAGCCTTGTTTACAATCTGATTATGCGATGCAGGGCTACGATGGGTCGTTGCCTGCGAGCGTGCGAGAGAAGAATCTCCGCTCGTTTCAAGAAGGAAACGGCCAGCGAATTTTGGTTGCTACAGATGCTGTAGCTCGCGGCCTCCACATTGGTGGGGTGGATGCCGTTGTCAACGCAGACTTCCCGCGTACGACAGTGGAATACTTGCACAGGTCGGTGGGATATTCTGGCGTGTTCTGATGAGGCGCTTAGGCGAAGAAGTCATATATTGTCCCACCGCTATTTGCATGCACATGGACCGTACTACAGCTTCCGACGTCAACGAAGATGAACATGAGAGAGTGGATGATGCTGATCCACAGTACTCTGCCTTCAAGGTAATGCGCGTGCGATTTCAGGGCCGGACGAACTGGCCGAGTTGAGTCGAAGGGATTTGTCCTGTCATTCGTATCAAAGAGGGACGCAGCCCTTGCAGCAGCTGTAAGGGCGTCTCTCTCCGTGGGTCTTTCTGTGGAGGAAGCAGGTGGACGCTCTCCCAGAGAAGAACGACTAGCTGGATATCGATGTGAGCTATGCACCGGACTCCGAGCGTTTCGACCACAGTAAAGTGCCCAATGCCCTCGTGAGCGTCTCTTAGCTTTGCACTAGCAGGATTAGTTTTGAACCTGCATAGTAATGCGGGAGTGATAATTGCAAATAATCACCGGTGGAGCGGGCATATGACTATGCTTCTTCTGAGCAGCTAGGATGCGGATGGCGAAGTCGAAATCGAAGGCCAGGCGAGGAGGTTGGAAACCTCCCCGGTAGGCTTGGCGCCACAAGCTTTGCAGCAGACATCATAGGTCCCCGATAGTCAATTGTCGCTTAATTATGATGTGCTTACTGCCTCCGTGCATTCGTCTGTTCGTTTCATGCGCATGCTTTTGCCTCCAAGCACCATAGATCTACAGCCTAGATGCCGTGTGGGCTACGGGACGCCGATATTACCAGGCATGCGTTCGAGCGTTGTATGCGTATGACAAGTCTTGACCCTGTTTTGTTACAGGCCTAAGGAATGGCATGCAGCACGGGTGAAAATGGCCCAGAGGCTCGAAAAGAGGCAACAAGTAAGGGAGCATTTCACGAAAAGGCGTGTAGGCTCTGCTAACAAGAAGGTTGCCTAGGGCTCGACGTAGCCGGACTCGCCCTTGCAACAGGGACACTTTTGTTCTCGTTGCATTGTATAGCCACGGGTACCACGAGAATTGAAATGCAAGCCCTAAAGACACGATTTCCTTCCGCATGTCTCGTCTAATGCGTGAGCAAGCAAGGCGCCGCGCCGCCTCTGTCTTTCACGCATTCGAGGCGGTTGGGTTTGCAGCCTCTCAGCCCTTACTAAATGGAACAATGGCATCTGATCAAAACGAGTTGTTTAAATTCTGTTAAGCCGAGCTGCGGCTTCTCCGATCTGTTGTAGTGTAATTGTGATGCTTGATGACATCCTACTTAGTATACCATGTCTACCATGGAGTTGGTACGCACATATGCACGCCCATCCAGGTGGATTTACTCAGTCTCAGTATGGCTTTCAAATGAGAAGGAGGATATTTTGGAGGGGGACTGGTGGATTGCACTACTGTGCTGGAGTGTCACTACGGGATTTAGTAGGGCGGTGGATACCACCGGTGATAGCTCAGTTGGTAGAGCGGCAGACTGTAGAAGCTGCGGTAATCTGTTGGTCCCTGGTTCGATTCCGGGTCACCGGACTGCTTTTGCCTAGAGTTTTCGCTTGCCATTTTTCTCATTCAATGAAACTGCTTCAAACTTTTTCGTTTCTATTCAGTATAGCTTCTTGTGTGGGGAAGGCGGCGCTCACGAATTTGCCCCACCTCCCCAGGTGGAGTGGCCCACTAGCCCGTTCCTGTTCTCAGACTCTACCAGCATTTTCCGGTTGTGAGAAGCATTCAATTGTTCAAACTTAGAAATGCCTTTAGACTTGTAGCCAGTACAGAAAGTGGTAGCAAGGTAGTGGAGTCCGCCCGCTGTGGCCCGGTGTTTTTGTGGTTGGTTTCTAGTGTGGCATTGGATCTGCTTATTGAGGCGCTCAGCTCCCCGATGTGCCATTGTTGCACCTGTAACCGCCTATGGAGCATGATAATATGCTTTCCGTGTTCAAAACCCCAACCCTTCCTCTGGCTGGAAGCTTATTGTCACAGGTTCTGTGTTGCCTAGTCCCCGTGGCGTACTCGCACACAAGCATATGTAGCAAAACATCTATCGGAACCCCTGAGTTTTTCCCTTGGGTGGTGCATTTACGTTATGGCACCGGAAGCCTTATTTGATTCACTTCGACATGTTGCTTCCAGGCCGGTAGGGAACCAGAGCAAATCTTTGCCAGTAACACGAGCGAAGCAGGCTGAAACGGTGCCGTTTAGGATGGCGAGTACCGCACTAGAAGGCTACCCTGACAGAAAAACTGCTAGCTTGGAACACGCCGAAGAGCAGGGAGGGAGAGTGTTCACAAGTGGAAATCACCCAGCTCGTGCAACAGCGTACATAGTGATAAGCGTCGAAAGCGTTCCTTCATTTCTCCTAACGCTTCTGGCATATATGCAGGCCCTCCTGAGTACGGCCCCTCCCCATTGCCTTTCATTCTCACCTGGACTCCTTGTTCCGAAGCATCCTGGATTATATGGGGCTTTCCAGTTCGCCCCAGCAACAGCTCTTCGTCCCGAGCACAACCCAGCTGTTGCTCGAGTTGAGTGGCTTCCTCACGAGACCTTCTTGGTACTCTCCAGCCTAGACGGTGCGGTTGCCCGCTGCTTTGCTTGTGTCAGCAGCAAAGGTTTGCTCTCCACAGGTGCAGTGTGCTCAATCATCGCATTGACCCATGCTGCTGTGTTGCTCTGATTCGGAAGCTACTGTTAACAGGCATCGAGGGCATTGATGAGGGTCGATGAGGGTTTCCCCAGAAGTAGAATAGCTAGCCTGTGTTCTTCAGTATAGAAAATGCCCAGTTGTAATTTACTGGAGCCGCATGAGATACACATGATAAGAATCCATATGCCTTCACACGGCGTGGTGTGGCAATTCAGTATATCGAGTGTCTTGCGTGGGGAAATCAGCCTACAATACATATATCATGGATTCTCGGGAGGTGTGGTCGTTTTCAGGAAGGATCTGGCTCTTTTGTTTTGTCCTGAGGAGTGGGCATGGAAACTGACCTGTTCTCAGCAACTTGTTGCGAAATACTGAAGACAAGTATTCCCAGTCTACCATCTGCTAATGGTTAGTGAATAAGAGAACTATCACCGGTGGAATTTCAGTATCAAGCGCAGAACGCTTGTTCGCCAGGTTCTGCGACGAGAAAATACGCTCGTCGGTTACACGCGGTAGTCCATCTCTCTAGGATTCATTAAAACGGCAAAAGGTCTTTCCCGTTTGTTCTTCGCTGGACGTTCAGAACTAAACAATTTCCTCCTACCTTGTTTCGTAATTGCTGGATGCATGGCGACGCAACTATGAATGAAGGTGGCTTTCTGTTGTTCAGAAAGGGCAGCTAATGGCACTCAGTTCCTTCCCAGTCAGCATGTGCAGCGTTAATTTCCTGTACGACAGTTCTGTTGCATGAACTAAGTTAATTATCTTGAATCAAAGGCCTGCTGTTAATGCAAAATTTCGCATAATTGCACGTGGGTAATGCGTCCCCTCCTGCAAAATGCGGAGCATTTACCTCCCGTCTTCGCAGCATCGCGTCAGCCGTTCTTAAGAACCGGCAATCCCCATAGTAGTGTAGTGACTTCTCCGAACATTTCATGCAGCATTCTTTCAAAATATTTGCTCTCCGCTGGTCCCATAAGTTCATGCACATGCTACAGTGCACCCAGTTATTTTTTTGCGCACAGTAGATTTTATGGCGGGACAAGGCACAATCCTACTCTCACTGTAAATAGTAGAGTAGTTTATTAACGTTTTTCACTTCCACTAAACAGCACAGTGTTTGGCTCAGGGTCAGCTTGAGTTGCTTGGCAGTCGAAAATCAGCTGCATTTGGCAGTGCCGGGGGAGGCAGGCCTCCACGAAGGAATTCGCGTGGACTAGTGAGGAAAGATCGGGAAGCAGTAGTATTCCTTTGTCTAAACTGCATTGTAGTACATCTCTTCATAAGAAGAATTGCTATGTATGCTTTACCTGTGCCTACGGCAATCGTCTGAAATGCCCATCGGTACCTCTGTGGCATATAGGGTCCCCAGGAAAGTTTGTTGGCGAGAAAGGTTGCATGAGTTACAACTTTTACTTGTCTTTGCACATCAGGCGTCCTTTGCCGTTGATTGGACAGATTTTTTGTTATTTTACTTTCGGTGAGGGGAAGCCGTTCATTTTTGGACAGCTGCGTATGTTTGGCGGCCCAGTGGTGGGCAACGGTGCTGCGAAGAAACTTAGCGCAGCAGCACGGATGGTTTTTCATTCTCCCAGGAGTTTCGATTAATCCATCACAATAGTTCGAGATTAAGTTCGTAGGGGCGGAGTTATCTCAGCGAACTTGCCGACCGGTCGCCGGCAACCACCAGGGAGAACCATCAAAGCCCCGGGATAAGACCGTGGTCCCTATTCAATCATAATGCTTCCGTTTTCACAGGGCCCTCTTGGATTCAACTCATGCAACGAACGAGGAAGGCGCCGGAATGCACGTCGTGAACGATATGACGCATCTGTGCGGGCACCAGCGTCTACGATATTTTTCTCGAAGCCTTCGATGCCGAACACAGGCTTTTCGATTGACACAGCTTCCGCAAGTCCAGTGATCACTCGGGGTGCAGGGAAGTTGCATGAGTCGGACTCCCTCCCCGGACTGCAAGAAGAAGCATTGGAATGCTTCCGTCTGTACGACAGAGACGGAGATGGATTGGTCCCTGTTACTGACGTTGCTTCGATGCTGCGGAGCTTGGGTTTTGTTGTGCGGGTTGAGCAAATCAGAGCTTTTGAAGCAGAAATGCGTCGCCGGAAGACGACGAATGTAAGCTTCGAAACCTTTTCGTCGCTCGTAACTACAGGGCTTCCAAGAGCGGTAGATCCCGCGGATGTCCTCGATGCATTCCACCTGCTGGATCGGGAAAAGAAGGGGAGTGTCAACGTCGAAGAGCTGCACCACCTGTTGACGACTATAGGCGACCCCCTGACGGAGGCGGACTGGCAGAAATTACTTAATAGAACTTTGATGACGCGCGACAGTGTTACACCTGCTTCTCTGAAAAGCGGGACATTTCTAAGGTTAATCTGCGCACCGGCTGATGGAGATAACTAGTGGAGTATTGCTGCATTCCGCCCTGACGTTCCTGACTCCGTACAAAGGACCTCTGCTTCTACCGGCAAGAACCGTTACGGCCTACAAATTGTACCTGTTGTCCTGCACACTCATCCCGGGAGTGTTGTTGACCGGAAACACCCAGTCTCTCGCTGAGCCAAAACGACTGGCACCAAATGGGCGTTAAACTCCCAAGGACACAAGCGAGCGCTGTGAAACGACCGCGTGGCCGGGGAGAATTTCAGCCTGAAGTGCAGCTTCTGCATTAAGCCCAATCCCCCAAGTCCTCCTCCATCATTTAAAGAGACGCTCCACATCAGACCCCTCAGTATTTGTTGTATCGTCCATGGGAATTATGTAGCTCCAATCCTCGCCCAAGAGCGGAGGGCTTTCTGGAGAGCAGCTGGGAGCGGTTTGAAACCCTCAAAATCCATCAACGCAGCGGCATCGATGCGTCAGATAAGTATACGGTACTAAACGGTGCTTTCATGTTGGGGAGATGACTTTTTGACTGTTGAAAATGCAGGAAGTTTGTTTGTCGTTGGTAGGTTGGACATATGCCACTTTGAGTTCCAGGATTTGCTTTGTTCGACGCCCGCTGCAGTTTGGGTGCGGCTATGGGGTCGCTGCTGGCATTCCAGCACGCGTTTACTATAGCAACAACGGTGAGCACGACGTAATGTTCATAGGTCCCCCATGCGGTCTTGACAGTTATTGCTCGGAATGTTCTCGTCCAGGTGGCATACAGCATCTCGTTGAGTGTTTGCGATGCCGTCCCTGTGAATATCCTCGAACTTTTGTCCTAGGCTGCACTGGTCCTGTAGATCGAAGTTGTATACGGCACTGCCAGCTTCGTCCGGCTCGAACAGCCCCGCCACATCGAGATGTACTCCAGCAAGATTTGCAGATTTCCCGCCAGCTGTAGTGTGCGATATGATAGCTGGGCAGTCTCGTTGAGGGGAATTTTCGGCTGCTTGGTCCGGAGCGGCAGAAGCCGAGGATGCTTCCCTAGCAGCCATCACTCCAACGGACGAGGCATCCTCTCTCGGTTCCCAGTCACCCACAGCAGGCAGGGTCCCCAAACGGTCATCAATGTCACGGCAGCCCGCTTCAAGTTCAGGTATTCCCACTGTGAGCTTGCTAGCATGGTGGCTCTGTTCTCCTGGTGTAGTGGCTGTGTCTAATGAGACAGCCACTGCCTCATCTGAAGTGGCCGGGACTTCGCAAACACTCTCTGGGCATACGTCTGTGGCGTGTGGCGGCACATTTGTGCCGTGCTTCTCTTTTTCTAGAGAAGTGTGTGTTTTCTTCTTGCGCGAAGCATTCCCACCAAGTTTCATTTCTTCATTTCGAAGGCGTTTTCCGGAGGGGGGCTTCTTGATAGCTTGCTGGCCCGCATCCTTTGCTATTGGTGAACCCCGCGGCTGCACATGTGACTGCACAAGACTTGGCTCCGACTTTTCTACCTGTTCTTGCTGCGGAGCATCTTTTTTCGACACTATTCCAGTACCTGGCTTCCGTCCACGCATTGTTTGATTTTCTACTATTTGTTCGAACCCTGCAACCCGCGGTTGCTGCACTTTCAAGCCGTCGCTAAGGGTCGAACGGTTGCCGCCCTCTTGCATGCATTCTGGCGGTATTTTCGGCTCGCCCTCCGTTTTCTCCTTCTTCTCTATCGAGATCTCTCGCTTCCCTCCTTTCAGGCGTTTCCCAGAGTTGTTTGGAGGAGAGCACGATAGGCTGAGCACATGCTGGTCCCTTGGCAGCAGCTGCCATAACCGGATGCAATCAAGTAGCCACTTAGTTGAAATAGCAATAGGCTTAGCTCTTTTTTCTCCCTGAAAGTCCCATAAGCCTCTGGCCTGCCGACGGCGCAGCGCCTCTGCGTCTTCCAGCAGCCGGACAGCCGCAGATGCATCGTCCCCTATGACTCCTCCAGCAGCGATAGCCTGCAGCCGCACCAGCCTCCAGCATAACCATCTGTGCTTGACAAATGCACTTCCCTCTAGACAGCTATGTATTAATGAGTTGATACTGGTAGAGGAGAGGCAAAGGGTCAAGGAATTGCATACCAATGCCTGTAACTGATGTTTGGACAGGCCAGAGGGGCGGTACGGCCCGTCGATACAGATACGCAGGCTCCTCAAAAGCCAACGAGTTTTCTCTCGCTGTTCAACTGAGGGGAAGTCTGGCCGCTGGAAGTGACGGGGATCTGGCCACACCTGTAGCAGCGGCAGCAGCCTCAGGAATGCAAAGTGGGAGCAACAGCACAGGAGCCCACTAGATGCCCACGGTTGCTTCCCGACGACGCAGCTACGATGCGTTCTTACCTTCTGTTTCTTAGCTTCCTGGAGGAACTCTTCCGTCAATATAAACGCTCCGTTTACCAAGGCAAAGTAAAGCTTCACTGTGGGTCGCTGTGGAGAGCGAATAAAACCACAAAGCAACACGGTGCGCACCAGGGGAGCAAAATGTTACGTACGTTTCGTAGTAGTAGTGGCATGCAATTCAACTAGTCTTCGGCGTATTGCAAATGTAAATGCGCCGTTGGAGGAATGCACGCAAAAAACAAGCCTGCCATGCTTCGCATGTTGTGAGCACATTACCGAACACCAAAAGCAGTGCAAGCAAAACTGCATGTCTCACCGTCAGCTTATTGCTGCAAATAAGGTAAGAAATTTGTTCAGGGTTTTGGGGTTTCCACTCAAAGGCTACAGAGAGTCCATCCAAGCTCCCCAGTCGCCGTACAAGTGAGGGTAGTTCGTTTTGCACACCCGCCCCTTCCGGAAAACCGGTCGTAGAGAGAAGGGCCTGCAAGGCACAGCAACACGCCAGAGGGATGGGGAGGGAGGAGGCTGCGCATAGGTGCGTAAGAAGCGCTCCAAAAGCATGTACGGCTTGTCATAAAAGAATGCAGCTACAAGAGCTAGACACTCACCCGTTTGCTCCTATACACCACCTGCCGCCTCAGTTCCACATCAAACCTGTTTTTGAGAGCCAATATCGAAGCTGCCCACGATATCAGTTTCGCCCGCAGGCGCGTTTTGCCGTTCGCTAGGTTTGCTATCTCCTGCTGTTGCTGCTGCAGCTTCTTCTGCTCCATTCGCTGTAGGTTCTTCACCTCATCCTCACCTCCAGACTTCCCTCTGGTTGATTTGTTCCGCCGCTTCTCCCTTTTCTGGCACTGTTCCCTTGATTCTGTTGCAAAGCTGCCCTTTCCCTCAAGTGGGACAGGTGGGTCTGTTAACTGCTGTATCAACTGCGCTTCACCCTCCCGTGTGACTGGTGATGTCACTGAGAGAGGAACGGGAGCTGGGGGAACTACAACATTTTCCAAAACAGGGGCAACAGGCGCTGGGCGTTTGAGACCCGAGACACGAGGTGCATGGAGACCCTTGGTGAGAGCTGGCACCTTTCTCTGGACAGAAGCTGCTGCCGCACCCGTTCCTGGGTGGCTTCGCTGATTACGTTTGGTTGCAATAACAGCAGCTGTGCCCGCAGCATCGGCTGCGGCAATCCCCTGCTGCTGCGCGCCTGCATTCGGGTTTTTCGCCACCTCCTTTAGAGCGGACAAAAACGCTTCCAAATGATCGCCTTGCTGAGACTGGCTAAGGGAAAGAGCAGATGCAAAATTTGTGGGCTGGATCGCCAAGAGGGTGGCTCCGTTAATCTGTAAAGACAGCACAGCGCCGAACTCCTCAAGTGTCAGTCCGGAAGTTCGAGTTTGCCAGTATGCATATTCGACAGGTATCCTCGCTGTCTATGCTATAAAAAGGAACTAGTAGAGACACGCAAGGGCCCAACTGTATAAATTGAATTCGTTCACCCACTTCTTGAAGCTTCACAGCTACAACCGCCTCACTTAGAGCTGCGTCCAGCTTAAGTATGCGGGCCACTCCCGCATAGTCCATCTGGCTAAAACCTGTAGCACGCAGAGCACCAAGTGGGCAAAACTCAGAAAGGGCGTGAGGGATATAATGAGGCATTCTGGAAATGATGAACTTGGTGGTTTGTGCCGGGCGTGTTGCGCCAGTGGGACACCACGAAGTGGCGAAGTACATCGGAGCTAAGCCAATGGATGAGAGGGAATACTGGGATAGTGCAGCTCGCGGCAGTATATCGCATTAGCATATCTCACCTTGCAACTCGGCCATCGTTACAGCTCCTTCGGCGAGCGAGCGCCGCAGTAGAGTTTCGGCGGCACGCTGCATGATGTCAAGAGACCAAAGTATCCAGCCGATTTCGTTATTACCGTTACATAGAACGTTACAAAAAAGGCATTTTGCCTTTTGTATGCATTCCTGCGGACATACGGGTGCTGTCCGGAATATGAAGGGGATGGATCGGAGCTACCATGAAAGCTAAAGCCAACCGGATTATAGGGGAAAAATCATGTCCTCTGCGCAACACAAGCTTGTCTTGAGTGAAAAAAAAAATCATTTAGTTAAACATAATGTGTCAAGTGACTGTTGGTGGACTTACTCCCTGCTTGCAAGGGGACCCCGAGAAGAGGGTACAACCACGGAGTACCCACCCACCAGCCCCTGCAGATGGATTCGAGCCGAGCCGATTGTCTAGCACGGCCTCGGCAAATATTCAGTGTATGTGCATGTGGCTCTCTACACTTATTCTGTAACATCTCCTACCAATGCCTTCGACGAGTTGGCATATGATAGCGAGCATCGCGAGTGGCACCTGCACTGCGAAGTGCTTCCAGCGTGAGAGATCTTGAGCCTAACGGGACCTTCGGAGCGATTGGATGTTTCTAGTGAACGAAGCTTATCACAAATATTAACTATATATATATATATAT